TTTCTCCCGTCTACGACTTAACGAAAGACCCTACACACACGACGGCATCTTTTTGCCGAAAATACTGTTCCTAAATCGTTGTTGACACTAAAGTAGTCAAAATCCCCCTAGTGTGGATGACATGTCATCCAAGTATCAGAGATGCTTGCTGTTGATCTAGCCAAAACACAATCCGTGCTTTCCCAGCCTCGTCCGAACCGGTCTGATTGTCCGCTAATTAGAAATCTATGCATATCACACCGCTACATGAAGGCGACAGGAGATCCCAACAAAAAATTACAGACCGATCAATCTTATTCCGATGTGCAGCAAAATCAAGGAAAAGATATTTCAGTGAGAGCCAGTACGTTTTTTCGATCAGCACAATTTACTGTCCAATGACCAGCAAGGATTCTGTTGGGGTAGGTCTTATAATAATTATAGTTATATATCCAGAAGCCCAGATTGCCCTATCCGGGCAAAGTTAAAGTTGAGTCACTTGGCAAAACGACAGTTCAGTCGTCGTGCCGAACGATGACCACTGTCGCAGCCTGCGATTCCGTGAGGACCCAGCACTAGCCTCCGGGCAACGCAGTATGTCCCGACGCGGGCACTGGGGTCGCCAAGGGCAGTCAACTTACCCGCCTTCGGCATAGACGACATGAGGGCATGAAGGTCTTCGTATAACTTGTCTTCGCCTCATCTAAGCCGCTCATTGCTAGGACAGGGATGTCGACGGTGGTGCCGAAGTTGGGGCCCTAAGAGACAGTCGCAGTTACGTCGGGTGATTGTGGATGTCCTGCGGCACACAGTGCAGTTGTTCCACGATGTCGTTCCAGGTAGAAAAGGCGACGCATGTGTTTTATTGATCTGCCCTTGAGCGGCCGCTCCAGAAGAAGATTTAGCCGGCACCAGCCTCCTTCAGCTAGCCTTGTTCGGATAACCGGATGTCGCTAAGTGCAATGTGAAGAGAAGACGATGCGTCGTACTGTTTTACTTTCTTCATCCCTTTCCTGCAACATCTTCTGTGACTTCGAGAGAGATCCATCATTAATTTAGACATGAATCACCTTCTTTTGTTGGTATGAATATGAATGACAAAAGAGTAGACGCCTTTATATCTTCGCATCTGGAAAGCGGTCTTTAAATTACCTTATTCGTTCACATCTTCACCTCAGCGTTTCGTGTCTTCCTTCCCTATCTCTCAGCAACGATCCTGCTCTTCAGTCCAGTTGTCATGACATTCACGGAACACCTTTCCCATATAAAACCAGTTTTCTGGACTACAAAAGCAACTATTACTATTATTCCAGTATTTAAGTCTGGCTGTCGTTCTGACGTTCAGAACTATCGAGGTGTCCATAAAACGCCTACTCTCGCTAAAACGTTGAAAAATTATTGCCTTAAAAATTTCCGACTTTTGCATAGCCAATCAAGTTATTAGCTCTTCCTAGCATGGTTTTTACTAGATCGCACTTGTTAAACATGTCATTTGTCGTCTCTCAATCTAATTACCTCTCTTCGTAATGACCATTTATCTGTTGTCGTTATTTATTTGGATCTTTGTAAAGCCTTCCATAAAGTGCCACATAAAAGACTGTTGGTTAAAGTAGAAGCTGTGGGAATTCGCAGTCTCCTAATAGACTTCCTCAGGTCATACTTGTCTAATCGTAAACAAAAGGTTTTGGTGGGATCTTCACTTTCCAGTGAAAGCCCTATTGTAAGTGGTGTTCTACAAGGCACCGTTTTGGGTCCTCTTTTGTTCCTGCTTTACTTAAATGATATTTCGGCAGCAGTTAAGCATTCTCAATCATTTATTTATGCCGATGATCTCAAATGTGTATATTCTTTCCAAAATCTACGAGCCTTCATTGCCTGGAGCAAATCCATGCTGACTTGCTTGCTCACTCAGCTTGGAGCTCAAAATGGCTAATGGAATTCTCTCCGTCTAAATGTCGCTATGTGTTTTGAACCTGATAGGCTACCCCAACCAGTGGTCCTTCGAGGCATACCTATGACTGAATGTACCACCATCAATGATTTAGGTTTAAGCTACACTAGTAAGCTTGATCTCTCGCCACACGCTGACAGAATTACAGCCAATGCTGCCCCGATTTGTGGCCTTATTTCTTAAAATGTCTGTCTTCCTGAAATTAAATTAAGACTCTATCGTATGTTTGTACTTCCCAATCTCGAGTATTGTTGCCCATTCTTTGGTTTGATGAATGAAGCTAGTCGTTTAAAAACTGAAAATGTCCAAAGACGTTTTTCTAAAAACTTTTAGATAAGGAACATCCCAATATCTCCTACTCAGATAGATGCCAGCTAATTAACCTAAACTTTTTTGTGTTCGAAGACTAGAAGCGGGCCTCTGTCTCCTCTTCCGCATTTATAATAGTTCGAATCTGCCTCGGATTTCAGCACTTACCCCTAGTAGTCTTAAGTCAGTTTAAGTCAGTTTGTTAAGGGAATGAGGCTTTCGCCCTTGAGCTCCCTATTCATATCGATAAACAGAAATAAAGTCATCAATTACATCAGCAAATGCGAAAAGTTATGAAGTTAGCGGTAATTGTGAGCTAAGCGCAAACCGCCGCCGCTAAAACAATCATTATTGTATGTACAGTAGGTTCTCAACAAGTAAGCGTCTAGTCTGCACTTAAGGGATTTGACACTTTCGGAAAGAACGACGGCATCAGGGAGTTCATTCCATGCCCCGATGACTCTGTGAGAGAAGGCGTTCCGTCGGACGTCCGAATGAGCCCGCTTCCTTTGCACTTTGAAGGTATGACCACGCAGACAGTCAGTCCGGGCCAATTCAAAAAATTCATCAAAGTCTAGGGCACACTCACGGCTTCTGACAATCCTGTAGGTTTGAATGAGATCGCCGCGCAGTTGCCTGTAATTTAGAGGAAAGAGATTTAGTTCGGTCAGCCTGGTTTCGTAAGGCAAATGATGAAGATTCTTGACCATCTTCGTAGCCATCGCCTGTACTCTTTCCAGTCGTTGATAATCTTTCTTTAACCACGGTCGCCAGGCCTAGACTGCATACTCTAAGTGAGACCGGACGAATGCCCCATAGGTTTTTCCGAGCAGCTCCTTGTCGATCTGCACAAATCCCCGCCTCAGCGCAAATAGCACCCTTATCGCACTTTTGGCTGCCCTTTGACACTGTGAAGATGGTTTCAGCGAGGAGGTCATTAGGACTCCCAGGTCTTTCTGTTCCACAACATTTGAAAGGGGCTGACCACCAAGGACGTATGGAAAGTAATCGTCCTCCTTACTGGTCCGTATGTTGCGGAGTCTCAGGACCACACATTTGTCCCCATTAAAATTGAGGAGCCAGCGAGCTGACCAACTGTTTAGGCGGTTGAGACTGTCTTGAAGCGCGTACCTGTCTGCATCAGATCTGATGGGTGTCCACAGCTTAACATCGTCAGCAAACACGATGGCGCTGCATCCCAGGTCGTCGACGCAGTCGTTAATGTAAACCAGGAATATCAACGGCCCTAAGACGGAGCCCTGGGGTACACCACTTAGAACGGGGGTAGGAGTTGACCTTGAGGCCTCAGTGCACACGGTTTGCGATCTCCCGGTAAGAAAATGCGTTATCCATGTCAGCAGCCTTCCTCTTATCCCAATTTCAGAAAGTTTGTAGATTAGCCGTTTGTGTGGGACGCTGTCGAACGCCTTCTTAAAGTCTGTGTATATGACATCAACCCTCCCATCCTCGTCCGGTGCGCGAGTCCACTGCTCCGTCGTGTCGCGCACTGGACGAGGATGGGAGGGTTGATGTCATATACACTGACTTTAAGAAGGCGTTCGACAGCGCCCATACAATCTTCGCAACTCTTCCTTGATTATACCTCCTCCAGCTTCCTCCACCTCTAAGCGCTCTCTCTCTCTCTTTTGCTTCCAGAAATACTTTCCTCCGGATAAACCTTCCAAATAAATATAAGATCTTCAAAATATCTATAGACCTTTAAGAGAAGGCTAGGCCTTTATCTGTATACTGACTCGATCAAACTTTTATTTTCCTCATCCTTCCCGGACAACTTTCTCTATGACACTGAGAAAGGGCCGCCGGGAATTTAGTATGCCGCCATTAACTTTCCGTATCTGCTCACATTTTCTTCCTTTGTGAGTAGTCTCGCTTCCTAAGATCCCTCACCAGAAATGTTGATTTTTCCAATTTCTCAGTTCGTGCATCGCGCCCCCACAGAATGCACTCTATCGACGCTCTTGGCGAAACCTTCTGTATTCGCCATATACTAGTAGACTGGTCGCATCTCCCTTACCCCATCCTCGGATGGAGTCGGATGAATGTAACCGGCCGCATCTGGGTTCCTATCGCCTCGAGACTGGCTTTCTAGTCGCCACTTTTACATGAATGGCCTCATCCGGCATATTAATTCTGCCTTGATGATGCCCGTTTCGATTCTTATTTCTGCGCCACTTATATTCCAGTCCTGCCTGACCCGCCTATTTACCCATTCATGAAATCCTTTGTACAGGCCGGACCTGTCTGCTTTTTGTGTATTAAGGAGCGGGATTTTGTTCCCCCTATCATTCTAAACCAATCATGCTCATTTTGTTTATGTTAGGAGTTTATTTTCACTGCCCGCTCAACATTCTTCTTAACATGCTGCCTATTCAATATCTATGAATTAAGTATTGTATACATTCTGTCTACCTCGTCTGAAATTCTAAAATTAATGTAAAAGTTATCCTTACTTGCTATGAAAGGACCCCCACGGGTCTTGAATAAAAATTATTATTATTATTATTATTTGTTTGCTGGTTTCGACTGCTGATATTGCTGCCTGCGATCCACTGTCTGCTCGCAGCTCTCGGGAACTCAGAACTGTTTAACGCACATTTTATAGCCCTCTTGCCATCTCGGTCGTAAGTAGCGCTCTCCATTAATAGGGCTGCTTAACTTCAATAAACGGTTGCCGCTCTCCACTACGGGTCCCTAGGCCTAGTGAGAACGGCCTACTGGCTTGAGCCCTCTACGTGATTGCATGTCGCTCTATCCGCATGATTGTCTGGCTGTTGGGGAAAAAGAGCAGAGGGTAAGGAGGGGCGAGAAGGTGGTGGAAAAGAAGAGGAAGGGAGATGGAAGGGGAAGGAAAGAAGAGAGAGAAAACGGGGAGGGGGACTGAACGTGGGTAGGAGGAGGTGGGGGGAAGATAAGTGGCTAATGGGGGAGAGATGTAACTGGTTATTCTAGAACCGAAAAGTGAATTATGCACAGAATCTACCTAACTACTTCAAAATTTAGTTGGAAATTTGTATTTACCTGCTATGACAGCATTATAATAAAATTATTTATTTATTTTGAGCTACAAACTGTCTACAGACGGTTCCGCTGTAAACACCGACTGAAAAAAGGGGATCGAAAGTTATACTTTTTGCTACCCTGCCGCTAACATGTTGTTTAAACCATTCTCGTCCCTATGCTTCCTCTTACTGCGGATATCCCCTTTTGACTTCTTATAAAATATGATGGTTTCTGGCGTAAGTCAGCCATCGAAAAGAATATTCAGCAACCTGCCTTTGCTTGCGGCATTCATCGAGTTGCTCATAATATCCGACAAGTGATGTGATACTTTAAATATACAAGTGTATGTTCCAGAAAAGAGACCGAAAAACGAAAAAATTATATATGACGCAATGCTGAGAGTAGACAAGAGACGTCTTTCCTTAGTAAAGGGGGCCATGATGGGCGCAATGTGATATATGGTGAAAATCTAATCTGCTAAAATTATACAGGTTATTCATCCCTGAAATTCATATGCATAGCAATCTCGTCCTAAGAAGCATCCGCTCTAGATTCGCCTTGTTTTCCACATGTGGTAGCTTTTAATTTAATGCCTGAGAAATTTGAATATGTGGCAATAATTGTTGCAAGTCAATAGACTTTCACAATATCCCATTTCACCGTTAAACCTAACAATAGAGAACAGGGTAAACCCCCAAAAAATAATTCAAATAACCAGATGTTCAAACTTTCGGAGGCACCAGTTTTTCGCCAATATATTACTTTTCCGGGAGTTTAAGCATGGAGCTCTGTATTTTGAAAACTACGTCACGGTAGTAAATCCAGCTGTCAATTGGTCACAAAACACGACCGTTAAAGAGGATAAGCGTATTCGAAACTCGTATTTAAACATAAATATTCTTAGGTTTCTAAATTTCAACCTCGTAATTTGTTATCTTATAAAATATGGCCAGTTCTGTTTCCGCGTTTGTCACATTTTGGTGTGAACAAATCATCCCCCTGTCGTCGTGACGTTTTAAGTGCTTGTAGTCTGCTGAAGATTATCCTATGCAACTTCGCATTTTCTACTTGGCCCTACATTCCACAGCTTGGGCAGTAAATTCTGCTCTTTATTTATAACCTTGAACTCTGTAACTGGCCTAAGGATGTTTTAACGTACTATTCCACTGCTCTTTAGCGTGAGCCGCTCACTTCTACTTCCCGATGTTTTGTAAGTTGTCATCCAATCTACATTTCTGTAGCTGTAGACCACTTTCTTCCTTTTACACAGAGTATTTACTCGATACTATATCACAGCGATTCGGGTAACGGTTGGCTAAGGAATTTACGCTTTTCCCACAGGATGTGTTTCAAACTGTTTTATTTCACCTCTCAGCATCTATTCGGTACTCTGTCAACTTCTGGTTGGAAGTGAAGGAAACACAAGAGCTGAAATTCTTCGCATACTTAAACTTGAAGCGTCAGAGAAACTTGACGCAATAATTAATTATGTTTGTGAACATATCACATTCAACTCAAAAGACGGGCAGGAAACAGGTACCACGCAGGCCAGTGGAATTTTCTTGCAGTCTGGCCTTGGCATATTGGATTCATACTCTAAAAGTGTCCAAGAGCACTTTGGCGCTTCATCAATTGAGGTAAACTCCTCAAACTATCCTTGATATACGTATTTTAAATTCAAATTACAGGTTGACTACGTAAACAAACCAGATGACTCACGTCGTGTAATCAACCAGTGGATCGAAAGTCGAACCAACGGAAAAATCAAAGAGCTGCTGCCAGACGGGGCAATTAGCAGTCTTACTAGGTTTGTTATCGCAAGCGCTGTTTATTTTAAAGGTGAGCACGTATTATATCTATTCATGTTTAAAGGTATTTGGAAGGAAAAGTTTGCGCCAGCAGCAACAACTTCCGGAAAATTTTATCCATTAAACGGTCAGGATATGAACATGCTTATGATGCAATCTAGGAGGAAGCTTTTTTTCGCTGAGTTCAACGAAGAATTGGGAGGTCGGGCCGTGCGTCTTCCGTTTGAACGGTTCGTCCAGTGTTCGGTTTCCTCTTTGCCGAATCTATTGAACTCCCTTAACGAATTTCTCGTACATCCACATGTTGTCAGTAACTATAAGCCTTCATTTAGTGGTGGAGTTTGCGTTTGAGGTGAATAATTAACCGGTATTTTCTCCATCCTGTCTTCATCGGTTTGTCCAAATCTCTTGAGTTTAAAAAGGCAAACTATAAGTCTGGGTGCCTTTGCTCCAAGCACCCGCTCTGATATTAACTTCAAGGGTAACACGAATGCCAGAACTAGACTTTTATAGACAGTTGGAAAGCGCTGCCAAAAGACACATCGAAACTACTTTTATCGTCCACTAGACGTATATAGATTTAAATAGTTGGGAGTCATAGCGGTCTTGTGTCAGAACTCTGAACTTAGCGGACTCTCCAAGGCTGTTTTACAATTTCTCAATGAATGAATGGGCGTTAAAGCACTCAGTGTGGGATCTTATCCTCCAAACCATGTTTCACTTATTGAAACAATATTCCGAACCGAAATCGAATACATGTAATTGACTGAAGAGCATACTTTCACCGGGACGAAGTGGACAGTTTTTCCGACAAAAGCCACCTTAAACGTTTTGGCATAACGAACCTGTAACGGGTATTTTGGATAGCCTCAGACGACGAATAGGTGCCCGACGGGTTCGGCTGACTTATTGGCTAAAGATATTTTCTATTTACCAGTAAAAGTGCATTTATTTTCAGAAGTAATCTTCATAATGAACACGTACTTGATACAGTCGCGACAGTTTCTTTACTAGCCGGCCTCGACGATGCTGCGGATTGTATCTATCCACACCCTCCTGAAGGTCAGGAGGCCACCTCCATGTGAGATAACTCCTTCATCGCAGTTTCTTGTTAGGCAGCGGTATCAAACACTGTCAGCTTTATTGCTATTTTTCAACGACTGTGAACCGTTTCTTTTGAGGAGTTTGTGTACGTTACTAAATAACGTTTTTTCAGTCAGCGGTAGTCTATTTACACCGTCTTATATTATCGCAGTCCAGCATTCGTTACCGTACAGAAGTAACCACACGGAAGATTGCCAACACCTGCAGCAGCATCGGTTTGAACGATGATATCGTTCGTGGTCTATCTGTCTAGCGGCCACTTCGCTCCCTCAGACAGAGAGCTACTGATTAAAAAGTGTGTCTTTTTTGGCCATGGGCGTTGTTCGAGAATACTTTGAGTTCCGCGGCGTTAGTGAATAATCCGTTCAATCAGGCAACTAATGGGCAACTAACATACTTTGCCCGTGTGGGGCGGAATCACTAGAGCAATCAAAGTCGATCTGTCAGTGTTCTGGCACAGGTAACGTGCCATCAAAGACGCGTTATTTCCATAAGGTGCCGTTTTTCCACAAGCAGTCATTGTACTAAACTTGTGTTTGGTGCAGCCCTGACGAAACCCACGCCTGATGAGCTCTAACAACGGATCGGAGGGGATCGATCCGTACTTTACCTCAGCAACGACAACTGGACGTTTATGAGCAGGAATCTGTCCCCGTGTCTGGTTGGACGGTTTTGAGATAACCTCTTAGTCGCTGTCCCCGAGTAAGCACAAGGGCCGAATGAATGGCAATAACATCGGGCTCTCGAGGTTTATTTTCTTCGTCTCACTGAGGGCAAACTATTTCATTTTAGAAGAAAGTGATATACCTCGCCCTAGTAAATATTTTCAAATACCGCAGCCAAGCGCCTCCAGTTTCCCATTTCAAGCTGGTCAGAGAGGGATAATAGACACTGGTCATAGCAATGATTCTTGCGGATACACTGTCTGGCTCCATTATCCGTCATGATTATCAGAATCGAAAGCTGCAACAAGGACAGTCATGCAAAACTGCATGTGCTGTAGAAGGATGGAATTCCGCTTCTGAGTGGAAAACTTACCAGGAACAAAAGCAAAGCTGTCACTTCGACTCAGTTATTCTTGTGATCACATCGCACGCACTTTATGATCATTTTTCAGAGTCCGTAGTGCATCTTAACTCGAGTTATCTGTACAGACAGAGGTAAGGTCCTTGGACTAACCGCTTGATTTTCGTACCATCGAGTGAATTGGAAAATCCACCCACCATTCTCGAAGAGTGAGGACGTCATTGATGCTCACTTCCCGGCTTTGTCTGCAACGAAGTCGCCAATCATATCGTACACGAGGTCATTCAGTGCAATGAACCAGCATAGTTGCAGCAAAAAAAACAAAAGTAGCCAATATCCCGGTTCGGTCATTCCACCTACCGGCAACCATCAGCTGATCGGGGTGACGAAGTCTTTTATCAGGTACGTGCAGTTGTGAGTGCATCTTTACTGTGCTGGTAGGTAACTGGTTCTATCGTGTGGACGGAAACGATAGAGATGTTAGTAAAGGTCTCCCTTTCAGACAGAGTGGGTTAGGCGTCCGTTTTGTCATTAACAGAGAAGCCGCCGCCACCTGATGTGAAAAAAGTGTATTTAATTCTTCCTCCAATCTTTCCCACCCTTCAGTCAGGAAATGATCATTGTGTTGCCCAATTCGAACGATGGACTCCCCGCTTTACTACAGAAATTACTGGAGCCATCCCAAGGACGGCTATTCAGTGACATCATTTCTCGTGATGTTTACCATCAGGTGGAAGTTCGAGTGAGACTGCCGAAGTTCAAGCTAACGAAAGGCTGCAGCCAGGACTTGAAGAAAACTTTGTCCGCCCTCGGAATGCCGTCAGCATTCGATGCCAGCAAAGCTGACTTCTCGGCAATAACCGGTCACAGGGATCTCTTCTTGTCTGCTATGTTCCACAAGGCTGTGATTGAGGTGTGTTTAATGTTACTTTTATATTTTCTATATATGCTACTTGTTTGTAGAGTAGGTATTACGTGGTTATTCCACTGTACTTGATTGTCTTCGACTCAAATTTTCGTTGAAATTTCGGGTCTGACTGTAAAAGGTTAAATCCCGCAGGCTTAACCCCACGTTTTGCACTGAAAGTGGTAGTCCAGTAGCTTCATCGCGTACGTCTTCATAAACGCTTTTCCCTCTTCGTCCTACCTTTCCTCTAGTAGGTTATTAACGACCCGCAGGGTCAATTCTTCAGGTATGGAGGTGATTATAGAGACGACGTCAGAAGATACCATTATCTCGTCGAGAGCTATTACGACGCCTCTGAGTTTTTCCTGGAAGTGCTTTGAAGATACGGTTGTGTGTTCTGAGCCGTCCGTTAGCTTCTCCAAATGCTTGGCAAGCCATTTAGCCAGTCCGTAGGTGGGTGTGCCTTTCAACGCCACAATTGGTCGTAGAGGCACACCTGGTTTGTAGATTTTCGACAAATCATTGAAACGCGCTAAGGCAGCATCATGTGGTTCCATCTGTCTCAAATCCTTTTCTGATATTACCCTTTGGTTATTTATTTGATCCAGGCTCCTATTGGTTTTGTCTACCAGTGTGTTTATGGGGTCAGTGTCGACGACCATATGACTGGTTGTCATTTAACAGCTTCCGAGCTTTTGCCGCGTACTCTGGCATGCGTAAGACTACGGTTGCCCGCCCTTCGTCCGCCGGAATAATGACAATTTCTTCGACCTTCTTTACATATGCATATATATGAATAACGGAAGTAGTTTGTATTCCGAGACGATATAATAAAAGGAGAAGGGTCGTCGGAAAATCGAGATATACTCGTGAATTTTCAAATCCGTTACACCAACCATATATGCATGCACACACTGGACACTGAACACAAATTTGCATTGGAGAACACTCGCATTGTTGGCGCCTGCCCAATAAGGAAAGGCCGCGAATTCCTGGAGGCAATGCACTCCATGCATCAATCGGCATATTGATTCAGATGTCGCATACAACTTTCTGAAGGACAAATGGAAGCGAGCGCAGCCAGTGCCAATGGGATGACGAAAAACCATTGGCGCAGGCTTCGGCCAACCATAGAATCACTGGTTCGACACGGTTAAATAGTTAACTGTTTTTGTACATAACCCAAAAGTCTGACGACGAGCTGGCGAACCAGACTCGAAAATTTACGCATTAAAGGTTATTCTCTTCCCAAAGAATCTTACTTATTTTTAATTAAATTTCTTGGGATTCCCGTTTTCCAGCACATATATATGGGTTCGAGTGAGAATCTGAAACATCAGGCCAGTAAACATTTTGTCCCAGTGATGGCAACTTCTTTTTCTTCTGTTCTCATGCATTCTAAATTGTGAGCCAGCCGGGTAGCTGGACGCTCATTGGTCAGGTCACGGAACATGCTTGTTCCGTTGTGCCTTGGGGCTCATATAAGAGCCCTCGCAGGTAGTCGCACACCGACCAGTAGTGGAAGTAATTGAGATGATACCGACAAAGACAAGGGAAACCGAAATTGCTATTTCTGGCTTATTAACCGTCATCAGCCAGTCATACCTAACCCAAAGTGTGGATCACTGGGGAACCAGACTCGAACATTTACGAAATAAAGTTTGCTCATTTTCCCAAAGGACCTATTCTTCTTCGAAATATATATATATATACATGCATATGCATATATAAAGATGACGAAGAGTCCTTTCTGCATTCAATTTTGTTCCCTCTAATGCCCCTCTATCGTTTTAGGTGGACGAGAGCGGTGCGGAGGCCGCTGCAGCCACCGCAGCCGTTGCAAATACACGATGTATGCCCATAAATATGCCGCAGGATTTCATCGTGGATCATCCGTTCCTCTTCTTCATCATCAGCGAGACCGGACTGCCAATCTTCATGGGTCATGTCGTTGAGCCTGAGTCGAACAGCTAGCCATCATGCCGTCTTAACTGTCCTCTGCCTTTCATGTTTTTTTAATTAGATCTACTTTAGAGTTTTCCTTGTTTGACTTCTCTCTCTCTCTCTAAGACATAAATAACGCTCATGGCTCTTCTGATCGAAATCGGTGGGGTATGGATCCGGGAATTAGTAGAGAATTACTGCTAGGGGTTGAGTATGGCCATTGGGACTACAAGCAGGCCTGAATTGTCGATTCCGACGTGCTTTATATTTAACAGTTAGTATCTGATGTCGTGCTTGCTCTTCGCCATGCGGGCGTCTGCGGGGCTTACGGTCCGCAATTCTAGCATTGTAGCAAACGTCCGTAGAGTGGATCAAGTTCACAGGGACGGCAGTCGTGGCGGAAACAGGATGGCGGTGCCTCGACCAAGATTTTGTACTTCACTTGCTTTGCTGGGGCACGCTTCATGTGCCTCTCTCCAAACCCCCAATAATCGAGTTACTAACAAGAATACCCAGTCGTCCCTAATATACATTTCACCAGGGAGGAAGAACAGGAGTGCCAGGTGTCCCTCCTTGATGTTCTCGTCAGGCGCAGTCCGAAGGATGACATTGAAACGACGATTTATGGGAAGGCAGCGGAAACCATGCAGCTTCTCAGTCTCCATTGCAACCACCCGGCTGGCTCACAATCGAGAATGTATGAGAACACATTTCAGACAGACCGTGACACATTGTAGCAAACCTAGTACTTTTCGAATTTTTCGGTGTAATCTCGAAATTCTTACTACCATCTTGCAGACTTTTTTTCAGTCTAGGTTGCTACGTCTGTGTGTGATAGTTGACCTGCGAACGAAGAAGTATCATCGAGTTTTTTTATACTACTGCTTATTTATATCTACAAAGGAGCTATGAGCCTCGAAGAGAAAATCAGCGGCCTCGTTGACTACATTGACACATTTGACACATCGAAGTGGAAGCAAAACACAGAAGTAACTGCGAGACCCACGCAGTCAATGTTATTCTCCAGGGACGCTTAATCAGGAAATGACTAACGAGAGTCACCGACTTTATCCGCTGTCTCTCCTCTGCTCTGGAGTAGGATACCCTTTCGAACATTAAAATGAAAAAAACTATCTATAAAAGCGACTTCGGGGACACCTAGGGTTATTCTGTAGTCCTGTAGGGGCCGTTCATCGTTGCTGCATTTGACTGTATGTCAAACCCTGATGCCATCTGCAGACACAACTAACTTTCAACACAGTTCTGTTATGTGATCGTTGACATACGGCGGAAGACTGTTGGTCCAACAACCGCATCCTGAAATACTCGATCAAAATCAATATCTGCGTTGAGTTCGCCCTGCTTGTGCAAACAGACTCCGACCGGATTTTCAAGTAGTCCTCTTACCTGGGCAATAGGATTTTCGTATAAAAATCCTGCGGCGTGGTATGTTCGCCACCAATTCGTGCAAAATAGCTGTCCGAAGGCGTGTATACGCCGCCGCCTCCGCCTATGCGTTCGCTTCCAGAGGACTCAAACAGCAACATTATCGAGCATATGACGTGCTTCGCCATGCATTACGAACGTTTTAGAGGCCGTTGAGCCATTGCCGCGGGACCAGATGTTGGAATTGCACAGCGATCCAAAGCCACCATGTGCAACAGAGCCAGGAAGATTAAAGACTAATTGAAACTTGAGGAGCGACCTGGGGTAGTGTGTCGCGTCCCGTGCCGAGACTGTCCTTACAACCAAACAGGTCAGACTGAACGCTTGCTCTGATCGCACACACAGGAGCATAAGCTGACTGTGCGACGAGGCGCGAATTGTCGCAAACAACTGCCAACACCTGCGAAACGGGTCATGAGTGTGACTTCGCAGTCACTTTGATGATCAGGAACAAAACAGGCCGAGAATCGATTAAAACCTGGCCCTCAGCCAATCGACGTATCGATCTGGCGCCATAGTACGGAGCCCTACGCAGTCACCTCCAGTCCTGTGTCACTGACGGATGATTGGCTAGTGCCCCTTATAATTCGCTCGTTCTGTTGCTGCTATCTCTGACGATGGACTCCTATGGGAGTTTAAGACGTGAAAATAATGAGCAATTTGTTCTGATGTTTCTTGACCAGCCCTCTTCTTCACTCATACAGATACCTGGAACCCCAGTATTCGACTACATTTGTGATGGCGGTGCTCCAACAAAACAAGGAGCCGAACGAGCCGCCGAAGGAAATAGCTTGAGAGATTTTTCTTTTCAAACTGTCGAAATCTTCAGGAGCCTGGAGCCCACAGCTCCTAATGCGGCGGATCTTGACACAGGCACAAACTCCCCGCGTAAATGCTTATCCAGAATTCGCAGTAACATCAAAAGGCATGTAAATAGATGTTCGCATCTCGATAAAATGGAAGGAAAGGCAAAAGGCAGATGTCGTTTAGCGAGACGATGGGGCGTTAATTGGTGCACTGATTGTTTGACCTTCGAGAAGCAAGTGGTCGACCATTTGGAATTTCAGGAGGCTTATGGGCGGCTCACTTCATCCCGCCGGTCGTATACCTCGCGCCAATGCCAAATATGGCTGAACACTACGCCCCCGTTTAATTGTCAGCACCGGTCTCGCTGTTTGTAGCCGTCGCTGGCGGCCGCCACCTCACTAGACATGCCACGCATGCGCATTTCGGTGCGACGGTCGGCTTAGCATGTCAACCACTGCACCAAGTCTCAGCACCGGTCTGGCAGGTTCTGACCGTCGGCTGGAAGCGGAAGGAGAAAACCAGGTGTCGGTGCTGGGAAATCCATCCTTATGCCACGCCAGTGCATCCGTCATCAATAACAATATTGAAGTTGTTCCGAAGAGCGGAAATGGTGCGCAACCGCACCCTATGGCGAAAAGACGACGCAACATGCCGTGGGTCGACAACCCGATGTGAAATTCCAGTACCCGAGACCAGATGAACCCTTATTACAGCCCCACAAACGCCACTTTTGAGGTGGGAGAGACGGTGTACGTAAAGAACTACAGAAGTGGTGAAGGTATGATGCAAAAAGCCCAGTGTGTGTTTTTCGAGGTTGAAACCCCAGCAGACATGCCGAAAAGGCATGCCAACTAGGTGAGACATCGAGAGGCCTGGGACTTCAAAGCTGACGTCCCAACTGCTTCGTGACACGTTTGCTATTCTAACTCCCAGCGAGGAACTAGAACTATCGCCACCTGCAGTTCGAAAAAGTCCAATGAGGATACAGCCCCTACCCTCCCTCCCCAGAAGACTGGTCGTGGACCCAAAGGAAGAAGAAGAAGAAGAAGAAGAAGATGATGATGATGATGATGATGATGATGATGAAGAGGAAGAAGAAGAAGAAGAAGAAGAAGAAGAAGAAGAAGAAGAAGGAGCAGGAGGGGGAGAAAAAGAAGAAGGAGAAGTAGAAAAAGAAGAAGAAGAAGAAGAAGAAGAAGAAGAAGAAGAAGAATAAGAGGAAGAAGAAGAAGAAGAAGAAGAAGAAGAAGAAGAAGAAGAAGAGGAAGAAGAGGAAGAAGAAGAAGAAGAGGAAGAGGAAGGGGAAGAAGAAGAAGAAGGAGAAGAAGAAGAAGAAGAAGAAGAAGAAGAAGAAGAAGAAAAAGGAAGTATGAGGTACACTTTTTAAAAGCCGGCTGTGTTACGGAGAGCGGAAATGGTGCAGAGTCATGGAGTATGGCGAAAGGGCGATGCCATAGGCCGTGGCTCTGCAGCGGGCCAAGCCGGCCACAGCATGTTAACTTGGACAGACAATCAGCGTGCGCTGAAGTATCGAGCACACGGGATGGCCTTGCTCACGCGCTCCACCCAACCAATAACTGGCCGAATATTCGAGACTTTTCCCCGGTGGGATTCTCGCGCACGCGATGGCCAGTCCGCGACCGGCACAGCACCGGTCGTAATGTTGCAGAATGCACAGGGATAAATATAAACAAGGCGTCTTTCTGACGAGTTGTAGCCTCTCGTGTTCAAAGGCTGTCAGTCAAGTACATGTTTCCCTAACCGGCTCTCTTTCTGTTTCACCTACTTGTCGGATCATAACAGACGCGTCTCCCTCTAGGACCTTCAATCATCGCGCTGCCGGCAGACAGGACAGTTTAGTCCTTCTCCGGACTGAGGGTCGGACTATGATATGATCCCTATGATATTCTCTCATATGTCCAGCCGCTTTCATGGTTGTCTGGTACAGTGAAAATGAGGGCCACGTCGCGTGTGCCCAAGATGACGATCTGTTTAACTTTGCTAGCAACTCAGCCTACGTTCACCTCCAGTCGTCTTCCTTCCGAAACGCGATGGGTGAACAACGAGTGTGCGATGGGTTCAGTGCAAGTCCACCTCACTATAAACTACTTCAGGTACAAGTCACTGCTTCTGGAACAATCTGCGGCAGCGGTGGACGTCGACCTCCGCGACGGTCACACCTTCGTACCGCAAATCCATCCTTCTCTACTTAGCCAGGATCAACAGCATTGTTATGTCACAGGGGAAGATAGCAGACATATGAACAGTCATCAACCTTGAAGTCATTAGAAGAGGACGCAGGCGTTGTGGACAGAAATGTGGCCTACGAAGCGTGCTAAGAGCGATCCAGCAAGATAGATCAAGGTGGGCAGGAAAGTGTAGAACAACAATTTATCAAAAAAGGTAAATTGCTCTAAGAAGTATATTCGGAATGCTCTATTAAAGGACTGGCATCGTCTAGAGTAGAAATGCGCATTTCTGTGGCAGACGCCTCTCCCGTTTGGCTCCGATTCTAGCCGATGCCGTAGTATTCTGTAACAGTGGGGATAAGGGTTTGCTTCCCAAGTGCTCACTGATCATCTGACTAGAGCTCACAACTTCTGTGCCCGGAGTGGGGCTTGGATATCATTAGTTATTAACGGTAATTAGGTCAGAAGTAGTCATTTCCGTGTGGCTTGTACTTGTCGGAAATACTTCTCAAATTGATTTTCACTCAGCGCTCATGGAGTCTGAGTGCTAGGACGTTCCCCTGTTTCGATCCACTTTGTAGAACTCTTTACGTGCACCTATAGAGCCGTATTTCCTAGCCTTATGGATCCCAGTTATTCACGTCTTCGGCAGGCTACAGTAGCCCATCTGCGCACTGTGAGTGCACACTTGTTGCGCCCACTCTGGAATGAAAGGAAACAGGGAAAGGGAGTGAGATCTGTTCGCCAGCCCGAACGTCCACAGACGACGGTAGCTGGCCCATCTCATGAAATGTCAATCGGAATTCTGAAATGTGCTTTCGATTAGGAAGGATCACTTATGTGGAGAGGTAAGATCCCATCTCGTAGCCAGACATTATGAGTTGATACTGTCGAGATGCTTATTTGTAATCAGTAGGTGCGTTTGCCTTGTCGAGGAAACTTGTCATCAGTAGGTGTGTTTCTAGTGAGTTAGGCACGTCGCCCCTTTCGGTCAGGTTGTTGAACTTAGTGAGGGCTTAGGGTTAGGGTTTGCGTTTTGGGGCTATGGTTGTAGAGTTAGGTTTAAGGGATAAGGTTAGGGTTCCGGATTAAGGTCAGGGTTAGGGTTAAATTCCCTGGTTAGGGCTGGGTTTAGGTTTTAGGGTTAGGTTTAAGACTGGGTTTGAGGGTTAGAGTCAGGGTAATAGTTTTAGGGTTTAGGGTTAAGTTTAGGCCTAGGTTTTAGGGTTAGGGTCAGGATTTTTGGATTAAGGTTAGGGTTAGGTTCTAGGGTCAGTGTTTTGGTTAGGGTTTTACGATTAGAGTTATGGTTTTAGTGTTAGGTTAGCTTCCTCATTCCGGGCTACGAACTGCGGTCTGACCGGTGGGGACCCTACATTAAATAGTGTGTAACGTAATCCCAAGATATTTCAGTCGCGCCAGGATGCCAACTTTTAAATGGGCTTCTTTCTGGCCGCCTGCACGTCGACACCCGGTAAAAAAATGTCTACTCATATGGTATGAATTTTTTACATGGGTTTTTGATGCGCTGGTGAATTAAAATGCACTCAGTGTGGTGCAGTTCTCCAAGGAGGCGGATGAACCCGACAACGGCGAGCCCTACAGCCTGCACTAAATCACGGCTTGCCTAAAGTGCACCGACTGCATTGGCTTCACATGCCCGCACACGCTTCGATGACTTGCTAAGGTGACTGTATTTTGCGCGGTATGTGCATATACCGCGGCAGCTGACTGGTGAACTGAAGTGTATGATGAAAGCATACATGCACAAACCAGTCATCGGCGTAACCTTTAATCCCACAAACCTGGAAATGGCCCCAGTAGAGGGGGGTGACCAAGTAAGAAAGTACTGAACAGTTTGAAGTAGGTCACTTGAGCCCTGTGAAAGCACAGTTGCCATGCGAAGACGATTGTGACAACAATCAGAAGGAGAAGAGGAGGCCACCCTACCAGCCTTGGCATAGGGTTCCTCAGGCTTTTACAGACGACGAATAGTGGGATGGCGTTCAGCGGAGGTTAAGTGGGAAATAGTGAGGTTCTCGGATCAGACGAACAGGCAGTAATACCTCCGTGTGTGGTTGGTCACCGGCCTGATTAATTTGCTACCTACTAAACCACCAGAAGCCAAAACAACAGGACAAAGCATCACCCGCCGTTTGGTTGGATTTGGATGTGTCCATCGTGGGATTGAGGTGCCGCGGAAAACAGTCGCTCCACCGAGCCCCCCCCCCCGCCTAATGAAACACGGGCGGGGTTTGGATCTGAGGCCCCACTTGATTGATACCGTATGATTAGCTTACTTAAGCAGTTTTAGTTAACATACTTAATTTAGAAGCGTGCAGGCAAGTTCCAGGTAGCAGTTTGGAAGACGAAGATGCGATCACTGGAACAAGAAATTTATTGGCCTGTTGTTTCGGATTCTCATTTGAATCCATCATCAGAGACATTCGTAGATAAAGGTGCATTCCAGGTGTGTTCCAGTGATCGCATCTTCGTCTTCTATACTTAATTTAGCCACTCGCAGGATTGGGACGGGAAAGAAAGCGTAAGCAGAGCTCGAAGCACGCGTAGGGAAGCGAGTGAAGGTAGCGTGAACATACTATCCCCCAACGTAGCCACTCGATGGATTAAAAGGATACGTGGGACGCAATCACAACTAAAAGGCCACAGAGGGAACCGCGTGGTAATTCACAGTGCGTGGCCACTGTAGTGGGACTGACAAAGTTCTAAGCCATCGGAACAATTCCATTAGCATGACAAGTGAATGAAACCCTCAGAATGAGCGAATGCCTAATCTCCCAGAAAATAGGCAGAAACTGTGAAACCACCGCCTTCTCTATTGTCCTTGCATCATATCGGCTCCTTCGATGAAGAACATTGAGAAGTGTAATATAACACTACATCGCTTGCTTCAGAAACTACTAAATAAACATAAACAGACACTGGACGATGCCTCATCCGCGAATGAGAGTCCGTCAGCTGCCACTGGGATTTTGACGCATACTTCTCCACGCAAGATCTATAAATTGTGGTAACTGTGAAAATCATAAGCGTGCCAATGACCTATAAATAGCCTTTGATATTAGATTAGAGGAACATTTCGCACCTACCCTCTCAGTAGATGAGGAGGAAATGAACTTTTTTCGTTGGTGTTTGTTCAACCAGTATGTAATATCAAAAGCGACCTGGAGAGAGTCAAGCGGAAACTTGGGAGCAACGTGATGATGGGGTCACGTAGATGCCCTTCGGTGGAGCTATGCGTGTCCGGGCTGGAGATCAGCGTTTCCGGACTAATGTGACCCTGAGATCTTCAAAACCCGAAGCATGGTGTGTAGGAAAATAATTATGGTGGCTGCAGAATCCGGTTCTCACAGCGAATGACCTAATCTCACTAAACTATGAGCGTTGCGGAGGACGGTGTCCGTCGTGTGAGTACGACGTGTTGGGCGCAGCACGGTGACTCCTGTGTGAAGTAATTTATAGTGATAGCAGACTTGCGCAGCGCCTACCGCACCCTCTTCCCCCATGGAGTCAGAACGGCCGAAGGCGGACTCGAGCGCTATGGCCGATCAAGTTAAACAAGTCGTCCGGGTGTGTCACACGCGACCACGTTCCTCCACAGTGGACCGGAATTTCACACCCAATAGTGTGTAGCTCATCTCCCATCTACGCAGAATTACCGAATAGACCTGATTAAGGAGGAGTAATTGCAGCCTTACTCTCAGTCCTCCAGTCATCCACTCAAAACCCACGCATTTACACAGGACTAATTACGAGGACGGAGTTATCCGGTCAGTTGGCTACCTCCGAAGCCAGGTCTTTTAACGCGTCGTGGTGGATCCAAGCGCCTTAAATTACTTATAGTGAGGAGTGCCTTCATATGTTATGGGGAGGCGTCCCCTAATGTCGACGTCACTCATTTCCCTCGATCTATGCACCACTCGATCGATCAAGCCTGTCTCCATTCGGGGCTGGGATTGGACAAATCGTCTGGCCTGACCTTAAAGCCTGCATCTAAGCTTTCCACGCGCCTCTGTGAAAACGTCGTGCAGCCCAGTCCTCATGGCGCATGTCCTCTTCGTCTTACACTATGCACTTTTATAACCACCAAAATTGTGATCTATGTGTGTTGCCCCAATGTACATTTTAATTAAAGCATCTAGGTAGACGGATTAAGATTCACTTTCGATAAAACCTAAGCTCAAGAAAATGATTTAATCAATTCACCGTCGGTGATGTTATCAAATATTGCCCCAAGGTCTTGAGGATAAGGACACAAATGCCGATCCAAGAACAGTTTACTCGTTATTCAGACGTCTTGAAAGCCCACATTCCTTCGATTTGGAGGGCAGTAATCACCCCGCACCCTACAGTGATCAGGCAAGTGTTTGAACGTGAAAAAGTCACTTGGTCCATGGCATGAGCGAGTGATTATCCTGGCAAGGCTGTTCTTTGTACCATTTCCAATGAATTTTCGGCGAGGTTCGGTTCTGCAGCCCCACCTTAGTGATATCATATGGTAAGCTGTCTAAGAAATTGCAGTAGATTCGAGTACGCTGACGTTACAAATCTCACGTATTGGCATTCTCCTTACCATTTTAACCCAGCGAGTGACTGTGCAACGGTGGTAGGAGTGTTCATGCGTCAGCCTCGGTTACGTCAGTTATCAGTTCACACGCGCTCCCCCGCGCGTGCTTCAAGCCCTGCTTGCGCCCACTTTATTATCTTAATCCAGCGAGTGGTTAAGTGGCCTTGCCAATAGAATTGTTCCGACGGTTTCGAATTCCTTCGGTATCACTACAGTGGTCATGCACTGCGAATTATCACGCTGTTCCCTCCGTGGCCTTCCATTTGTGATTGCGCCCCAAGTATCCTCTTAATCCAGCGAGTGGCTGTGTCGGGGAGACAGTATGTACACGCTACCTTCAATCGCTTTCCCACACGTGCATCGAGCTCTACTTGCGCTCTTTTTCCCTTCCCAATCTATCTTGTGTCTAAGTTAGGTTTGTTAACTAAGATTATTTTAGTAAGCTAATCATATGGTATCAATCAAGTGGAGCTGCAGGGCCAAATTCCGCGAATTTCCTCCTCCTCTGAAGTAACTGTCCTCTAAAAGTGGCCTTAGATACCTTGAGATGGAGCCATTAGGTATTTGTTTACTGAGGATGTCTATGGGTTGCTTGTAAAGATTACGCAGTCAATGCGTTCAGGCTGTTGTCTTTTAGTTCAAGCATTCATATCACCCTTCAGACCAAGCCTAAAAAGGTTCACCAAGCTTGCGCACTCATTTGTGAGGAAATTAGAACTGCCAATGGACGCGAAGATGCGAGTTACAGGAAGCGATCGGGAAGAGAGCCACATTCGTCCGCTGTTTCGGGTCCCCAACGGAATCTATCATCGGAGACGGATACAGGTTGGGACAATGAGTTGCACAGGTGTCCCAGTGTTTGCAGGATACAGCTGTTGTGCTACTGCATACCTATCAAAATGGGCGACTTTGACACTTATCACATGGAATTGCCCGGAGTTGTTGACTGGTCAAATTTCATCACTCATGTGCGTTCTTGGGCCAGTTGAGAGCGGTATTCCCCTGGCGCTCTCCACGGGGCTAGGCAAAGTCCAGCAAGGGTATGGTTAGTGGCCGGGGTTACTTCCTCCGGGGAGCATTTGTGTTGAGCAAAAGGGCTGAACATCTAAGAACTCTGTGGTACGGTTGTCTGGGGTCTCTGTGAGAAGGCGACTGACGGCTTGCGAGACGGCGCTCGACCGAATTTGGGGCGGTCGGATATGGTCTCTCGCCTTTTTTGCGCGTGCACCGGTTGACGAGGTTGCGCAGGTAGCCCTTTGTTGTGAGCTCTGGTCGAAGTTATTCTAATTTAACAACCTTGTCTCCCAGATTTACTGCAGCAGGTCTCAACATGCCGTTATAGCGTCCTTATGCTGAAAACTCATTTAAAACGCTAAAGGGGCCGGAAGTGAGTTGAAACCCGCTTAGTTACGTCATGCAGCGGCATAAAACCCGCGAAACAGATGCCTGGGCTTTTAGCTACTACCTGCGTTATCATTATAATGCATCATGTGATGTTTGAAAGTGTAACAAAGCTAAAGACTTTTTGCCTATATTTCTTCACAACTATGCTGAGTTGTCTGCTCTTATGCGAATGATCCAGCTTAGTCATCGACGTGCACGAGACTTACCAGTGTTTCTATAAAATTGTTTACGGAATATGCGACCGATGGCTTAGTTTCCTCATGCAGTCATCATGCATACTGGGGTGACGGAAAGCCAACACGTTCACTAGTTTATGGACGAAAAACACCCCGTGAGTTATACCAATCAGATTGTGCGCTCAAAACAATCGGTCGACAGATCAAATACAGGAGCAAATGCTTGAAGAGGAATTCGAAAAGCACAAACTAGCACAAGACCAATTATTGGGCGTTGAAACGTCTTCGACACTCTAATGTTCCCAAGTTGACAACTAACTCGATGTTTTGCAGAGGTAGTAGTATAAAAAAGGACTTTCAATTATGTTTCGCCTAAAAAAACATTAGTTTCGTCAGTTGGTCGCGTAACTTGCTGCAGCATCACTCTGTCCTCAGGTTACGGGACTGCACCCTCACTTTAAGGCATCTGACGGCCCGCCCAACGGCATTACTGGTGTAGATTTCTTTGTTACTGGTTCCATTTTTTTGGGTTTTCGGGAGGCACTCGAGGCATGCCGCAATTTTGCTCAAAGCTATCACGAGTGTTGTTCCTTCAGATAGCGTCTACCCAACTGTTCTGCTATTGGCTAGATGCCCTTAACTAGTTTTGAATTACGGTCAGGTCTGATCAGATCAGATTTATTAAGGGAAAAGTAGGCGAGCGCCTTTAAACTCCCCTTTTGTTACAATAACCTCATAAAAAACAATGTGTAGGGCAAGTATCAAAGAAAATTAGGTAAGTAATTACATACAACAAGCATTGGTTACTGGTATAACTTTCTCCGTGAATGTCTTCTATGTCAAAATTGTACAATAACCAGTACGCGGTACTGAATAGACCAAGTTAAATAGGAGCAAACAAATATGCCTCTGTCACGTGCTAACGATAAGTCATAAAAGAATGCTACCTAATTATAGGAAGTAGCCTGTTTCGTAACGGTAAAACTTTGGGGTGGATGGAAAAGGGAAAAATTTGTTAGTTTCTGATGCCGTGGAGGTACACATCCCTGTGCTGGTCAAGCTTCCTCTTAAATATGTTCACGGATGAGGACATGACGACGTCCATGGGCAGGGCATTACATACCTTTACCGCTCTGTGTCCGAAAAAGGCCCCAGTCAGTGACAGGTCTCTTGAAATGTTAGTCAAAATTCTGAAATGTTTTTCAAATAGGAAGGATTACTTAGGTGAGATTGTGATATTGATCATCATTCAGTAGAATCCCATAATATTTCAAATTCAACGGAATGTCGGCTTTTGAATGCACCTTTGCTTGTCCGTCTGTGAGTACCACTCTATTTAAAAAATGACTACTTATGCACTGTTAACTTTTCCTTTGATTTTCTCCGCCCCTACAAATTTGCATATATTTTATAAAAAAAAGCATGCAAAAATATTCCTCCCTGTATTCATTTGTTAGCAACTCAAGCTTTTTTAAATTTTATACTCCAGGAAAGATTGCCTTTAGGTTTGAAAGGGTTTTTGTAATTCTCGAATATTTGTGAGTCAAATCTGCCGTTGTATTTGCATCTAGCGTTTTCAGTCTAAAAGGCGCAAAGAAGAATCGTACACTCTTTTATACCTGTAAGAAGGAACCATGAAGGTAGACTTCACAGAATTTTCCCCTGGATGCGGGCTATGCTGCTCACTTCATGTTGCGTCATTAATAAGTGGTCAGCTAGGATGCTATATGATTCTGTAGTGCACAAAGTATCTGGGTCAAACTCGAAGGCTATAGTTCTTAGGTAGGCCTTCTTATGGACCTCATTGAGGGGAAATCTATTGAGCGTATTCCTAAGATTCAGGTAACGCTCACAGCTATTTATAAAAAGTGGGAGAGTTGCTGGTGGAAAATTAAGACGTAGGGAGGAAGTAAAGGATGTAAAGCAAAGTTGTTGTGGTCTGAAATTTGTATGCATGTTACCATTAACTAAACAGACAACGTTGTATGAAAACATATTGGGGTCATTTAACCAGAAGCTACTACAACTCTCCCTGAATGAATACCTCATTCAACACACAAAATTCGTAGCAAGACTGAGAGAAGGACAGCGATCTAACTGTTTAGATTTCGTTTTCAGTAAAGAAGAAGGAGTCATAAGAGAAGTGCATCCACAACCTCCATTCGGTTTAAACGATCATATTGCTTTTACCTGTGTGCCGAACCAACAACCAAAAATCAAAAGACCCAGAAATAGTTGGAAGGGTGACTAACGCAATGAGACGTACTCTTTTGAAGGAAACCTGGTTAGTCGACATGGAAGATTCAGGAGAATACTGGCAGTACTTTCGCGGGATTATAGAGTGTCTAGTTGACTGCCATTGTCCAATAAAAAAAAAACAAGACTAAGTGCGCGACTGCCGTGGGTCAATCCGACGAAAAAAAAGATCATGAAGAAGAAACAGAGACTGAGGAAAATGTATTTTTGTCTTCGAGATCCAATGTTATGCGCCGAATATAAGGATCAGCGCAATAAATACGCAAACAAATACGGGTTGCTAGAACTTCTTTCGATAGCCGGCGGATAGCGAATCCATTACATGTCCCACGAAGTTTTACGGGTACATCCGCAGTAGAAGGAAACATAGGGACGAATTTGCGTGTCTAAAGGATAGCCTCGGTAAGTTATTAGTTGAAGGACCACAGAAAGGGCAATTACTGTCTCAGTTTTTTCAATCGGTTTTTACGGAGGAGTCCTCAGAAGACAATCAACAGTTTGAACTGGACCGAGACAGCCGGGAGCTTCAAATGTGCCAAGATACTGCCGTCATTGAAACTGTTGCCTTTTCCGTCGAAGAAGTAAGACGCGTCCCCAGTAAAATAAAACCTGATAAGTCTCCTGCAACCGACGGAATTCCTAGGCTGATACTTAAGGAGCTATCAACGGAGTTGTCAAAGCCTCTTTCGACTCAGAGGATGAAGATGAGATTACTGGATGCGGTCTTCTGAACTGCAACCTGGAACTCGCCTGTTCGCTTCTATCAGCCTCTTTCGACTCTCTTTGGGCTGACAATGAGAACAGGACGGCTACCATCACAGTGGAAGACAGCTAACCTCGTTCCCTTACATAATGGAGGTAGCAGGATGGCAGCAAGCAGCTTCAGACCTATTAAATTAACTTGCCTCCCATGCGAAACGAAGGAAGCTCTAGTAAAAAGCGCTATGCAGCAGTTTTGTGAAGAAAATAACATCTTTCAGGATTTTCAACATGGCTTCCGGAGAGGACGTTCCTGCCTCTCAAATCTGCTAGCTTGTCTGGAGATCTCGACCAGGGCTCTAGAAGAGGGTTTTGAGGTCGATGTCGTGTACATCGATTTCCGCAAATCTTTCGATACTGTTCTGCACCAACGTCGTCTTCACAAACTCAGCGCCATCGGCATCCGGGGAGATCTTCTGAACTGGATTAGGACGTTTCTGGTTGGTCGGAAACAACGTGTCTGTATCGGAGATGATATGTCAGAATGGGTGAACGTGACCAGTGGTGTGCCTCGAGGGTCAGTTCTGGAGCCATTGCTCTTCATCCTTTATGTTAATGACAGACTTCAAGAACTCGGCTACAGCAAAGTAATGTTTGCCACGACATTAAGCTCTGGCATGTCATTAAGGGTCCGTATGATCAGATATCCCTTCAAGATAATCTGCACCGACTGCAAGGGTGGCCGGAGAAATGGCTTCTAAATTTCAATGTGGAGAAGTGTGCCGTCTTTCAACTGCGTCCAACCAACTCATTCAAATGAGGGCCTGAGGGCATATCACCTGAAAGATATAAGGCTCCCTGCAGAATCTTCACAGAAGGATCTCGGGGTTTGGATACAGAACAACCTGAAACCGACACTGCAGTGCCACAAGGTTGCAAAAAACGCCATGGGAGCGCTCCAGGCAATCAAAAGGGCATTCGTAACCTTTGACCAAGACCTTTTTGGGAGACTTTACAGCACCTTTGTTCGATCCCACAAGCATGGCGGCCATGGCTAGTAAAGGATCAGGCATGTCTCGAACGGATACAACGTCGTGCAACAAAGCTGGTAAACGGTCTAATAAGCCAATCCTACACAGACAGACTGAGTTGCCTTAATTTATGCCCTCTGTGCTACAGGCAGCAAAGAGGTGATCTTATCCTTTTCTACAAGATAATACATGGCCTTGAGCATGGACTTAAATTTGAGGACATGTTTCAGTGGCACCTTTCACCCAATCTTCGTGGTTACTCGATGAAGTTACGGACAACAATGTCCAGGCTGAATCTTCGTTCTGAATTTTTCACGCAGAGGGTAGTGGAGAAATGGAACGATCTCCCTCAGTCAGTCGTGGAGGCGACGTCTCTGTAACTCTTCAAGAAACGCTTGGGTGATTATTTGTGTCCCCTGTTTTCCCTCGACAGTCTGAATCTGAACTAAATACCCCACGACCTCGCAAATTGTTTCACTGAGACAATGCTCCTCAAATGAATCAAGTACTGTTTTAATAGCGAATATTTTCATTGCAAATAGAAGCGAAGAGACGAATCCCAGGAAGCAGTCTTGAAGAAGGTGATACGATCGCTGGGACAAGAGCTTTATTAGGCTGACGTTTCGGATTCCTGCTCGAGCCCATCATTGCTCGTGTATAGTTATTTCTAGCGAGTTGACACGTAACCAGTAGGGTTTTCAAAGGCTTTGTCTATTATCCTTACCAAATAAACTGAAAAACTGAACTGAAAGAATGCAGAGGAATGCCATTTCGTGGGGTCCAAAACGGAGGCACAAAAACAGGATTTCGAGAATCATGAGCAAAGTATGAGGGGTGACTTAAATTAGAAGACCGACTGAATGTTTTCGAGAGACTTTGAAATATGAGTAGGCTAAATTATTTGGGGACAGTTACAAGCCGTGGCGCTAGATAAATTATTGGCAGCATTGTTTACCTGCATTTTATATGCTGATATTTTAGCAGGTTTCTTGGCTGGGATGCCTTTCTTAATTGGATAATGCGTGGTAGGATAAGGCAAAAATCTCCCTGAAGTGTTACCTGCTTATTTGTACTACTAGGTTAGACTTAACTATCCTGGCATGAGGGCGAAATGGATTTGACTCAGTATTTCTAACTAAGTCATTATTCTGTGCCATGGAGTTCGACTGCGGATTTAGGGTATGTCCATCTTTACTGTTTGGATTAAGTGGCCTGGTAAGGCTTGGAGCATCGTTTGAGCAGTTACCGCTTCTTAAAGATGTTACAAAGTTGCAGATTTAAATTAGACCAGGGACAATGTGTTCAGGTGAAGAGACAGGTAGCAATAAGGCCACAAGAGGTCAGGGAAACGTATACTAACTTCATTTGAAAGGGTTAATTTCAGAAATAGATTTCAGATGAATGGAATTCTTGGATATCTTTTTGTTTGCTAATGGGGGGGACTCTGCGTTCGAACAACCTATAAATTATGCTGTCTATGTTCGATGAGCTGAAAGTCTACATCCGTGACCCCTCACCCAGCGCTACCCACTTGATGGAAAACTGGTTGTCTGGAAAGATGGATGACCGCGAACTGTTACTGCCCGGATTTCACCTGTTTCAAGAAGATAGGGAATGTCGAACCGCGTCCTTCGAATTCGGTTTGGAATTTTCGAACTCCGAGGGATTTAACTTATTCGAAACTTCTGTCTACTGGGCGCTCTGTCGGCCCGTTGAGATTTAGAAATTGATCTGTCTTAGCAATACCTTAATCACCAGAGGACAGCAGCAGTACTTTCGTTATTGAAGCTCACATGAGATTGTTATCAGGGGCGTAACGAAGTATCTGGCTCAGTATATTTCGGACCTCTATGAAATCCGACTTCAACGTGCGTCCGAAAGCAGTCTGCCGACATCAAAGTGGTCGTAATTCAACAGAAAACAAAGGCCTCTTGGCAAACTGTCCGCGAAGGCTAAGTCGCTGTTTGCTGGTAACTGAAATTTGATATTGGGCTTCGTCTGGAAAAGAGACATTCTTTGTGCTCAGTAAATTAACCGCCTACCAACTTAAGCTGCATGTTATAAATTAATGTAATCTCATAGAGATCTTGCTAGCACGGAATATCCGATTTTCCACGACCCTACTATGTGTGATAAATGTTCGTTTTCGCGGGAAAGATTTAAACCAAGGACTTCTTTAAAGAGAGCCGACGTTTCTAACCGCTCGGTCACGCTCAGACAGCCGGCGGCCAAAGAAAATAACGGCCTGTCCCTCATTCGCAAACTGTTTTCTGTCTCCTGTGATAAGGGCTTACCAGAAATACTTAACCCGTTCTCAAAGGAGCGCGACTGACCAAAGACCATCCATTTTGAAGGACGCCGTATACTACTGAAATCGACCACGTGTTAGCTATGTAATGAACTGTTGACACGCTGTTGTGGATGCCGAGAACTTGCCAGCAGGGTTTTGAAATTGAAAGTACCAAACCAACCGGACCTCCATACTGCCCTGGTATACAGACCCACAGGATAGCGGAAGGGTACGAACGAAGTAATCATCACTGTGGTTATGCAAATCTGCCATAGCTAACGCGTAACTCAACTTGGAGATCCTAATTCTCCGGATATCGACTTGGAGTCGATTCACTGTATGTGGTCGGAAAATCATTGCAACAGACGCTACTTCAGTGGGCCACTGACGAACTCTTTGCTCAACAAGTTACGATGGACACCCGATTCCTAAGTGGACAGCAGTTTGGATCTTATCATTATTAGAGTTGAAAATTGTATCCTCAGGTTGGATTCTAACACGACCCTGGACCTATGTGACTATTGCGTTCTTGCTTTGGAGTACAGTCATTCTTCAACAACAACAACAACAACAACAACAACAACAACAACCAGAGCATCCAGAAGAGAAGATGGGGAAGAGAATGATGATGATGATGATGATGATGATGATGATGATGATGATGATGATGATGAGGCGATTACTGAAACAAGAAGTTCACTGGCCTGACGTTTCGTATTCTCACTCTGATGATGGGTTCGAGTGAGAATCCGAGATGTCGGGCCTATGAACTCTTTGCTTCAATGATCGCCTCTTCCTCTTCTTCTTTTTCTTCCTTTGAACAGCCTCCTGAAATCCGCCTGCTTGCTTCTATCGGCAGTCTGAGAATTTTACTGATTTAAAAGTCAGAAATGTGTGTCGGAATCTGTTGAGCGTGGAACGGGACAAATTTGAATCAAAATTACTCAGGAATATACCGCGAAATTCTAAAACGTTCTTTGGATACATGGATAGGGCGAAGCGTAGCCGGGACTGATTTCCCTGTATAAAGGATTGCCAGGGAACTATGTTGCCTAATAATTTAGACAACGCGGTCATGTTTTCCGATTTCTTCACGTCTGCCTATACCGAGGAGACGCCTTCTAATAATAATAATAATAACAATAATAATAATAATAATAAACCTCGTATTAAAAGCCAGCTTACAGGCATTTTCAGGGAAGCGTTAAACACAAATCCGACCAGCAGTGAAAAGAACTCCTGTCGAAAAAAGATAAAAATAAAGTTGACGATGGTTTTTATGGTTTGGAGGGTTGAGGAGAGGAAACACTGCTGACCGCAAACTGTCGACCGTCAAGAATTGAGGGGTTACCAATTCCTTTCCTGAAGTTGGGGCTAGTCCAAACAGAAGCGCCGAATAACGGCTGTCGCTGTTGACCAAAGAAATTGTCCCTGGCGAGACCGGTCAAAGTGGTCAAAGACCACAAACGCCATCGCTACGGTAGAGTCGTTCGGTGGATTCAGCACCCAAAATTTGTGGTAGCTTTTCTGAATGCAAAAATCGAGTAATAGTCCTCTTAAATAAACGATAATTTTGCAGAGTTTTCACACTCATGGGTAGTTTATTCCAAATAGCAATTGCATTTACAGAATAGAACCAACGATATTTAACATTACGTGCCAGAGGAAGAAGTAAGAAGACCTCACGGTGACTGTTACGTCGAGGATAGACATGATGTCTTAGACGAGTGAGTGGGTTAAATGTACGATTATGTAAAAGCTTAATTAGCAAAAATAGCCCATTTTGCAATCTACGAAACCATTAAGGATCAAGGCGTGTACGCCGGCAGTGTTCTTGGTAAGACAAATGTCGGTGTTCCGGGGTTAAAACTCTCTTCGTAAAAAATTGTTGAACAGATTCTATTTTCTTCCGCTCAGTAGCATGCATGAAACTAAATAAAAACGAACAGTATTCCAGGCCAGGTCTAACGTGCATGTTATAAAGGCGCATTCTAATATCACTAGTTTTAAAGTTTCGGAGGATAAACCCGATCGTTCTACGTGCTTTGGAGACTATCAAGGCACAGAGCTCCAAAAGATTGAGGCTCTCGGAGCATGATACACCGAGATCCTGAATAACCCCATGCACATTTATGGCGTGACCTTCAATACTTAGTTGAGGTTGGCGGTCGTCGCCAACCACCATGACTAAGCATTTATACCAAGAAAGATAAAGGCGCCATTTGAGACTCCACGAGGCAACGGTCTGTAGGTCACTCTTTAGGAGCTCAAGCACGATGTCAAGATCTGCCGGCTTAGCTCGATATGCAACTTTCACATCATCCACATATATGAAAGGCCTACCATTCTGAAATACATCAGGTACATCGCTAATAAAAAGGCAAAATAAAAGCGGGCCGAATACGCTACCCTGAATGACTCCACTCCTCACACGTGTGGGGTTGGAGATAGTATTGGAAATCTTAACTCGTTGTGTACGAGTGCCCAAGTAAGAGGATATAAAATTCAAAAGTTTGCCACCTATTCCGAAAGAGGACAGTTCAAGAGAAGAAGAGCATGGTCAACACGGTCAAAAGCCTTAGTGAAATCGAAATACACTGTGTAAAGTGAAAAACCATTGTCCCTAGATTGGAGAACATAGTCAAAGAAAGAGAGCTGACAGGTGTCACAAGATCGAGCTTTGAGGAATCCATGCTGAGCAGCACTCAGTAAGTTATTCGCTGTCAAGTGACACATCATCTTATCCTTGATCAATGTCTCTAAGATCTTCGAAACTGCGCGGAAGGTGTTTATTGGCCGAAAGTCATCAAATGGCGTAGATTGGCCAGGCCTGGGAATGGGCAAAATGTGTGATTCCTTCCACAAGGTAGGATAAGTTTCACTTTCAAGAGCGAGATTAAATATCTTGCATAAGAAGGATGGGAAAATCGTGTTTGCATCGGTTTTTAAAATGCTTCCTGAGACACCATGAGGTCCTGGGCTATGAGATTGACGAAAACGCCGAATCGCAACAGTCACATCCCACAGAGTGAAAGTTATAGTTTCTAGGACTGTCCCGGTCAATGACTGGATGGTCCGAAGCGGAGTGGTCGAGTCTTCAATAAACGTTTTGGACAGGAAATCATTGAAGATATCAGCGGTTAACTGGGCATCAACTATGGGATTTCCGAGAGTGTCTCATAGGGTGGAATGGTGCGTCTTTCTGTGACTGCGTATTTTTCGGGAGAAAAGTTTCGAGACATCTAACGAATGGTTTTCAGTGAAGTGGACCTCTGCGTCTGGCTGTTTTTCTTCAGACAATCTCTTAGCCCGCTTAAAAATATGAAAAATCGAGGGCAGAACGGAAACGTCGTTCTGAAGATGGAAACGACGAGAAAGTCTGCGCAACTTGCGGTGAAAGAGTAGGGGTAGGCAAACCTCATCCCCTACATTAATTTTTTTCTTTCGGGAGACAAAACGAGAAATAGGCGGATCCAAAATTTTGTACAGTTTTGCAGTGCAAACATCTACATCCGAATTAATGAAGAAATCATTTTGCCGCACTGTCTGAAAAAAAAAACGGCTGCCCATGAAATGCCGACAGTCGAAAAAGGGATGGGTAACACTGGATCCGATACTATCAGTTGCCATTTCTTCTCATAAATGAAAATGAACCAGTCTAAACTTATGCATAACAATTACATCCGTCCTACGTCATCTACATTCATTAGGTACAAACACCTAACTGCTCCAAAACTACCGTACATATATGAGTAGCTTCTATTTATGTGGTTTTATTGTTAGTCGTAACTGTGTGCATATTGAATGAAACCCAAGTAGGTGCTCGAAGACCATTAGCATCATACATGCTGTGAAGCATGCCGTGCTGTGCTTTAACTGATGTATATATCTGTCCGTCAGCCATGCTGAACTCTGAAACTAATACTTTGTCTGTAAGGTTAGTGGTATTCCCTTTTTGTCTATTCGATATTAGCTTATCCGATTTTTTGATACTTTCCTGCTGCTTTTAACAAACAGGAGTTCAAAGATGCGAACCTACATTTCCCCAAAATTAACGAAAGTGAAGCGACCATTATTCTGCACTCAGAAGGCCTTGCCATACCGCCTTACCGATATCGATGAAGAACCAAATAAAGCCACTAGAATAAGATAAATTTGTGATTGCGGTTGTACTAACTCCTAATGAACGGTTATCAGCATTCGACATAAGTGATCACCGCTTAGAAATCTCCACGCTGGGAGAGAAAAACAAAATTACATGAATTAAATGCCACTTTCGAAGCATTATCAAGATAAATATGCAACGTCCCTCGAGAAGGCTATCAAAAAACTCCTGGGTCGTTACTCCGATTAAGTTGACTTTCGGATAATAGAGGCCATTTAGGAGAAAACGGCATCCCGAGAAATGTTGACCGTCGTGGATGGAAAAAGTGGCATGTGTACAGGGGAATATTTTGCATGCCCCATCCTTTTTGCTTAATTCGGACTTTGTGCCAGACAAACCACTTAAAATCATCCACTCATTTATATTTAGTACGGAAATGGTTTATAAGATTATACAACAAATGCTATGCGCGTCAAAGCGACAAGCCGTTTGTTCGGCGACTTATCAAATTATTAGGGCGCACGTACTTTGAGGCGTTCTTGCAATCTCTCTGTGTGGAGTACTTCCTTGAGATAGACCATCGTTCTCCAGAGCCAAGATCCAAATACAAATTCTAATTGTAAGGAAGAATGTGTACTGCAAATTCTGATAAGTCGGTCGCCTTAGTGTAATGCGGCAACTGTGAGTTCGAATGTTGAGCCGCCACCGTTGTAGCCGTCGCTTTCTCTACGTGTCTAAAACCACAGATTCAACCCTATTCATCCGGTATTTTGCCAGACTTCGCATCCATCGGCGTACTATTCAGCTCTTCTGAGGAACAAATATCCGCTTCATACTCTATCAGCCCCACAAACAATAGATCAAAATGAGAATAAATGTTCTGGACTACAGTCTTGCGCAACAGTAACAACGTAATACACATTAGTTTGAAAAGAAAGACGCCCGACTGAAGCATAAAGACGCTGTATGGACGAACGCCGTACAGAACTATGAGGAATTACTGCGTAAAGCTTGGTTTTGTTATATTGACCGCCTAGGACATTTGCGTTGAAGGTGAATCCATACTTTCACTAAAAAAAAGAAAAGGAGACAACATATTACGTGCATTTTCCCGCCTCTCCCTTCTCAAATTCCATTTCTTTTCGATCCACAGAAAAACATTCGCGCTGACTGCTACAGGTGTTCGTAGTGACCAAAGTAGGAAAAAACTAGAGGACCCACTGTGTCGGTTGATTTCACATGTGCCTCGAGCAGTCAGCACACAGTGTAAACATTCACCTTCGAACACGATTGCAGCGTATTGGTGTTTCTTTCCGTCCTCGTGTTTGTGCCACAAAAACCAACTTTTTAATGCTGTAGGGTTTAACTATCTGCGTGATTAGGTTACGGAGTCTTTTAAAATGATCTGGAACGTTTAGAAAAGTCTTCCCATCCCCGTCAAATATTTCATTTGCGATAAACGTTTCTGCTTTTTTCGTGGGTTTAGACTTTTTGTGTTCTGTTTCTGGGTCCTCTAAGCTCCCTGTATGATACATTACCCTGGTGTTATTTTGTCCCGTCTTACCTTACGCAATGCCCCCACAACCCACAGATTTACGTATACCTGGCAGATGATTTACACTTAACCTGAGTCGGTCACCCCACAAGTGGCTATAGAAGGCTGTTGCAGTGTCGGGGAAAATTGGGATTTGGCTGTAAACTCACAGATTCAAAATCTTCCAATTACAGACTCAGGAGACGACTGTCCCTCCTTGCAAATACATCGGGTTTTTGAGCCCTCAGTTCAAGTGTTTCACTTTTGATGGTACGTAAAAGAAGCATTGCTTACTGTCTGCGGAACTGTAAGCATGAATGTGGGTCTCGAGGTCCAGAATTTCATGCCTTTCAAAACTCTGACCCCTTTATCATTAATTCCCCCTAAGTAGCAATTGAACTGAGCCTCCGGACAGATCCGTGCGCGCTCTTCAGGCATGTTTCGAGTTTGCTGTTGACAGCGGATCGGCACGAAGTTTGTCATTTTTCGTAACAACTTTCACAACTTTTCTAGGCCTGCCATGCCGTTAGAGGCTTAGTTCATCCTGATGAATTTTATTTATGCCGAAGACGAACAAGATAAACAAATTTCCTTCATTCCGACCATTGTCTATGCGCCTCCCGGATCTTTAGTCGCAAATGGTGCTGCACACCAAGTACATCCTTGACTTTGTGTCAGATAACCAACATTTTAGGTAGATTATAGCATCTATTCTAATACGGTAGCTCCAGTAAATTCGAAGGCCGCATGCCCCTCTTCAATAGTGACGTCTGTTTACCCAGATTTTCTCAAAGATGCTAACACTGCCCATATTAAACCCGAGTCGCCTTTGAAATTTTCAAGCAAAATCGCCGCACCCGCCTCTGTTCTTTCGCAATCCCCACCAGTTTTACAGAGTTATATTCCGGAGAATTCTCAGATGGCGTCTCAAATGCCTCTGGCCATATCATCTTCCAGCGCCAACAATGCCGATTACCGAACTATGGATAATATATCGATTCCAAAAACTGAGTACTGCTTTACTGAAATCCCCGTGTCCTCCAACATCCCGGTAACTGTGTCATCAGCATCCAATTCCTCGGAGTCTGCGTTGCGCCACCAGTGCCTTAGCGACCAGTCCCTTCGGAGTTCGATACCTACAGTGAGCCCAGCTCCGATTGAGCAGCAGTCTTTACAGGCGCAGTCAGCAAACGGACTTTCTTTGCCAAGTACACCCTCCGCTCCGCGTACCAGTACTATAAGCGAAGCTCTGTTTGTGAGGATTATTGTTTCCAGATGCAAGCGGATCGCCCCTCTCTGGTTTCGTGGTATTTCATCGATGCGAGAACGCAACAGGGAGGAAAGTCGCCGCACTTCAAATAACGCCGGCCATACACAAAGTGACTGGAGCACGATTGCAGAGAAGATTAGAGTGCGTTTTTCGTTTTTCTCTTATGCACATCTTTGTTTGATTTGTCTACCATACTAGATCTGGTTTCTTAACGTTATAGCCGCAGACTTTCCTCGGAACCGCCGACAATTCGCTCTTGAATTCGGAATCCATGCATTTAGAAATTAAATGCACGCGAGCTCCTGCTTGTCCTCTTAGTCATATCGTTTCGTCCCGCCCACGAAATAAGTGACCTAGCAGAAGGGTGTGAGCGCTTAGACATTTTTGTCGTGCTGAGCTTTTGTTTTTTTTTGACATGGGACCACAAAGATGCGGACATTCTCAACCAGATCGCGTGTCTGCTATCATTTCGTATGCAACACCGTGTTGGCCAACGTCATCTATACCGGCGTTTGGGTGCCCGCTGGACCGAACATTTACGGGGCGGACATTAAGTAGTTGTTCCTAGGGTGCTGTATTACATTAATTATGTCAGCTTAGAGCCTCCGTATTTCAGATTTACTAAGTTCCTCACCGACGTCCATCGCATTTTTTGTCTAAAGGCAGCTCAGTTCTTGTAATGCTCACATTCCTACTCCAGCTTCATGTCTAAGTGTTAAGCTTTCCACTTTAGCAAGGTTTGGTTTCAAGTGGTTTCACCTCCTGTAAATCATGCCAAAACGGTTGAATCCTGTTCTCTTCTTATTTATTTGAGTACCCTGTATGCCCAAATGCGATTCCGCAGCATAAAATATATGCTTCGTGTTCTCTTGTTGCCACACTGCACTCTGTTAATTCGAGCTCTTGTCGTACTTCTCAGAATTCAGCTATATGGCCCCTTTCATGATTGTCTTTATTCGCTTGGTTTCCTGATATTTCGCAAACTTCGTTTTTCTCAGCCGCTCATCTAGTCTCCGAAAAAGTTGTTCGAGCGTTAGCCAAATAACCATTTAGACATGACTCCTTCAATACACTAGTGTATATAAGAGAAGTATATTTGGTTCATGGTAGCTATCCCATTACTGGACGAGAATGTTCTTTTTCAGGCGTGTCTAGTGGCACAAATGTTGACCACACACCAGCGAAATCCGTTGTATGCATGCCAGCTGTAGTCATTTTTAAAATTCCTCTTTTTTAAGACTACCTTTTTGTGCTACTTTTTCGCAAACCTCGATGCTCACCCGAGTAGAACGAACAGGAATTAATTTCTATGAATATCGAAAACCTAGACACACATGCAAACGTTCTGCCTGATCGTATCCTCTAAAATATGCAGCATAGAGTTCGCAAAGGCTACCGACCTTCCAGGACTCTTTAGACACCAGGTTTATCGGGTTGACCGTTTAGCCCTAAACCGATGTGCAACTGTGCCTTTGTCTGTAGATCTGTTGTCCTCAATGCCTTGAGGCACAAGTTCGGTTGCATCCTCCTTGTCATCGACTGCCGAAATGTTGGTCACGGTACACTAAGGTCCAGTCTCTCCAAAATATATCGCATTCTCGGATTGAAAGTAAGATGTTATATCGTTCCATTTCGTCATGCGCGAACAGCGAACGATGTCCGTTTTCGAAGGCGCTATTCGTTTTCAGAGCCACGGGAGAATTGGTGGCTTTTATAAAATTATATGGTTAAAATGGGCCCTATTTTGGTTATTTTCTCAGACTAGGCTGCATCGTCGCCATAGACGATTTTGTGCTTGCAAGGCGATCAATATATTTCGTTGTTTTTGTATGTGGATTTACAAGTTATGATCAAAACGGTATCTTGCTGAGTGCGGGTAAAATAAGCCCTAGTCAGTGCTAATACATATGTTACGAGTCCAGTAAAACATGTGTGTATGTAGGCAGAATATCGTTACCGACAAAGACAAGGGAGACTGGAATGACACTTTCCGATTTATTAATCGTTATTAGCCACGGGCTCGTTGTCCTGTCGGTTGCGATCAGCTGTGTTGTCCAAAGGTTGGAGGGGGCGCGCACCGATCGCATTGCGGAACTTTCTCGTCCCGCTGCGCCCTGAGGTATGCAAACCCCGAGGCTCGAATTCGCGACCCTCTAACCAACAGGTCGCGAGTTTGTATGCTCATTGAAATTTCGGGTCTGATCCAAAAGGTGTCCCGGACACTTAACTTTATGTCCTACACTTTATAATTTCTGAAGTTATTAACTTGATTATTCTCTGGAGTTCATATACCAGAAACCGTATAGAGGACGATGGGGGATCCACTGGTACGTCAATCAGCAGCAGAAACATCGACGAAACACGTGTTTTTATTTAGTACCCATGTCGAGAGTACGGTACAGTGCCTTTGGCATATATGTATATATAGAATGGTAGAGAGGCGTTCACGGGTCGTCTACAGAACTTGTATACATACATATATGTGATCTATAATCCCACTCTAAAGGTCAAGCATTTTTTCAAATACAATATCGGACATAGAAATTCATGTAGGCAAAAATTCTCTTCGAAATCGTTGCGGCTGCCTTCCCAGAATTTTTAATACAGCTGGCTATTTTGTGTGCGTACCGTTCCCTTGGGGGTCAGTAAAATATCGATTAATCCACGCCTCTAGTAGTTGCAGAGCTGCGCACGAATCCGACGTTCGGCCGAGGTTCCTTAGCTTCCATGGTATGGCATAGCAAATGTTCTGCATTTTGTCACGTATTTTAGGCCTACAATTTGGTCATAACAGAAGTCTTATTGTATTGAGCCCATTTGTGAGACTCTGATGTTCACAGGCTCACACCTCAACCCCGCCCATTGAGCAGTTATCGTCGAATTTGCATAGCAAGTAGTTGAATGGCGCACAACAGTAGAATACATTAAACTAGTCAAATAGGAAACAGGGGACCAAAGACTCTTTGATGACAAGAGGAAAACGGTTAGAAGTCGTGCAGCCTACTAACTTACAGGCTGCTAACGTATTCACCACCCCCCCCCCCACCCTAATCAAACCTGAATTGTCCTTAACTTGGTTGACTTTATCTTTTTCCCCGGTATGATCTGACTTAGATCAACGGCGTTCACTATCACTGACACCCAGTACACGGCTTGCCTAATATGCTTCAATGTATCCCATCGCTAATGGCGTGCTTTGGCTGCTTTATTCAGAGAAATGTACCCGAAACTTGTGGCGGAGCAAGAACTCATATTTTGTCAGTTATTTACCCTACTAAACCAACTTTCCTACTCCGAAGTTATCGGATTCAGACTGTGTAGATGTTTGTCGTCCGCCTCAAAGATCTCATCGATGCCAGAGGCTGTGTGGGCTTTCATTATGCGTACGAGTGGATAATCAGTCCAAATAACTTGGGTTGATGAGGAACAGTAGTTTAATTGTTCGGGTTATCGGGTCCTTGTAGTTGTTAATGGAGCAGCACCGAAAAGGGTGACATTTGCAGTGCGCTACAGATATCATTACTACACACTCCGGGTGTTGGTGACCTGGCGCTCGCTACAGTAACAGCTTTGTACATCTGACAGACTCGGTGGTTGACTTATTGAACTCCACAAGGTCATTGTAGAATTTGCTGCGTGATGCGAGGTCGACTGACCCTGAATAAATTGATGATGTAAAACAGGCACTACATACTTCCCGGTCGTGGATTAAATTTCACCGGTCAGCTTGTGGCAGCTTGTGGTGAACTGGTACTCTCCTTTGGCTGTGTCGTCTAGAAAACTACCGAACATACCAACGTTGAGGACCACTTCTGTTAATTGCGAGTACCGGCGATAGCACCGAGCAGAAGAGCATGGTCTTCCACTGGGGGATCATTTTTAGTGCAGCCGAGGGGCAGGGACGTTTACGCAATTATTGCACATTTAATTAACCTGTACGTACTTCCAGACATGACGGCTCCTTTCACCTCGCGCTAAATTTTCAGTATCCCCTTAAATGTCGCTTGAGTGTTGTGCTTGACAAAATGCAATCCAAAACTATAGTATTTTTATTGGTTGGCCTTACCTCCTGTGCAGTGCCTCTCCACCTACGCGACTTATTACATCGTGGGTGCGTCCGTACTCCCCTTAAGTGGAACTTTGCACTTTTTATGTCGGTGTTAAGCTCCTTAATTGTCGGTCTTCTGCTGCTGAAGCTTGTTTTAGCGCGGGTTATCCACTCAGCAACACCCCAGACGGGAACCGAAGCGACTCTTTCCTGCTAGAAC